TCTTTGATATTTAAGGAGATGATCGAGATCACGACGAGCTGATTGAACTTTAATATAAATAAACACAATCACAAATAAGGCTTTTTTTTTACGAACTCAGAGTAACAATTAATTTAAATTAATGGAAAATCAAACGAAATCTAAGTAACGGTAGTAATTGTCATGCCAGTAACATTTGGAATTGACCAAAACAATATAGTATAAATTAACTTTTTGAATAAAATCTAAAATTTTATAACCTCATAAAAATATTGTTGGTTATGCCAAAGAATGGTTTAAAATTCTCCGCGTTTACGGCGAGTGGTGAGGGCAGATCTAAAAGATAAAAGATTAAGCCTTAAGCCTTGAGAGCGCCTGGTTGGCTCGGCCCTTCTTCACCAGCTGTCAGGGAGATACCACCACCAGTCACGGCGGAGGGCCCTCCAGGTAACAAAAGATGTAAGCTGGCATAAAGGGAGTAAGCTATTTTTTGCACAATCATTAACCTACCAATCCCTTAAGATTCGGTCCAGTGCTTAAAATTAGAACGTTGCCTTAAAATTTTGAATGTTGCCTTATTGAAACTCATGAAAGTTATTTTCTATAGTTGGAAAAGTTGCCTAAATATTTGGTCCACTGGACACGGTTAAATAGTTTTTTTTTGCCATATTAGCGATGTTTTGCCTTAGGTAAAAGAGGAAAATTGCCTGGTACGTTATGAGAGGTTATATAAAGATCGTCTATTGCCGGGCTGATATTCGTATTACGCCTATCAATTAGTTTTTTTAATGTAACTTACGTCGTTTATTACTTTGTTGCGTATTTGGGGGCACCAGAGTAATAATTTTTTTTTGTGTGTAAAAATTATATATCTCCGGCCTAATATTCGTACTTCGCCTAATAACACGTTTATCAAAAATATACTTTAACTAATAGATTTAATGCTTTTGTTACGTATTTGGGGAAGTCAAGTAGTTTCCAGGAATATTCAGGAAAGAATTAATAGTGACTTGCTGGAATTAGATGACGTCATTAATACTTACGTTAATCCTTACCTGCATTCACTAGCGGATCCAGGATTTAATTTTGGGGGGGCTTCAGCCCGAAAGTTTTTTTTTTTTCAAAAAATTACGATAATTACTTTGGGAAAAAAGAAAGAAGCTAACTACCTTTATGAAATTGTGTTTAAGTGGTTCCTAAAGCCCTTTTAAATGTAATTACATGAACAATAATACTTTAAGAGATACTTTTTAAATATTTTTTTCGATAAAACATGGTTATATTTTAGCATTTTGGAGGGGGGCTTCAGCCCGAAAGCCCCCCCCCCCGTAGATCCGCCCGTGCCTGCATTGCTGAACTTTGAAATTGTTTTGAATAAAAGACCTGCTTGGCTGAACTTTGAAATTGTTTTGAATAAAAGACCTGCTTGGCTGAACTTTGAAATTGTTTTGAATAAAAGACCTGCTTGGCTGAACTTTGAAATTGTTTTGAATAAAAGACCTGCTTGGCTGAACTTTGAAATTGTTTTGAATAAAAGACCTGCTTGGCTGAACTTTGAAATTGTTTTGAATAAAAGACCTGCTTGGCTGAACTTTGAAATTGTTTTGAATAAAAGACCTGCTTGGCTGAACTTTGAATAAAATACCTGCTTTACTTAACTTTGAATTTATTTTGAATAATAGTGGTTATGACTGAACATTAAAATTTTATTTTGAATAAAATCGGGTTTTACCTTAAGCAATCAAATTTTGATTTGAATATTGAGTTTTGCCTTCAGCAATTAAATTTTAATTTTGAATAAAATTGGGTTTTTCCTTCAGCAATTGAAATTTGATTTGATTTTTATTTGTTTTCTCTCTACAACTTTGAAGATAGCACCTACTAAGGGTACTGAGGGACTTAAAGCTATAAACGATAGAAAGGAAAGGATGTTTCTTCGAATTCAAACTGCATATATGATTAAGGGTCTCCCTGATAGAAAGGAAATTTTTATGGTTAGGGATTCAGAAATTAAATCTCAACTAGAGGAATTTGAAGCGGTGTTGAACAAAATTTCCCGTGTTGAACATGCTAAAAGAATCATTAGATGAAAAACATAGGATAGAAGTAAACGCACCATCTCTAGCGGTGGAAGACCTTTATTATGAAATAAAAGTTGCACACGAGAAATTAATTAAAGCTGAGCACATAGTTCCCGCTTCTCAGCCCATGTCTGAACCAGTAGCTTACCCTAAATTGCCAGATTTGCAAATTCCTCCATTTTCCGATCAGTGCGAACAATTTCTTTCATTTAAATCATTATTTGATGCCTTAATTCATCATCAAAATTATACAGAAATAGTGAAGTTTCATACCTCAAATCACTTTTAGTTCATCCTGTTTCACAGGCCATTTCTTCAATCGAGTTTAATGCAGAAAATTACAGCTTAGCCTATGATAAATTAGTAAAGCACTACAGCAATAAAAGGTTCATTGCAGCCTACCATCTTTACAAAATTATACGGTTTAAATCCTTTTCGGTTGATAATTCTACTAACTTCAGAAGCTTTCTGGATACATTTCAGGATAAATACAATGCCTTAAAAAATCTTAAACTTCACAACTTCGCTGATTTTATTTTGCTGCATCTTGGACTAAACATTGTAGACCCGAATACAAGAAGAATGTTTGAGAATAGTCTCAGCGAAGAGACAGTTTCTAATTTTGATAAATTTTGCAAGTTTGTTAGGTCACAACTTAGAGTCGCAGAAATGTGTTCCGAGCCATTGAAAACAGCCCAAAGTTCAGCGAAAAACATTTTTAATCAGCCATCACAATTGACCGGATAAACAGAAAATTAATTTAGAGTGCCCAGTTTGTAAATCAAGCCATAAAATTATAAATTACCCTCAGTTTTTTTATGCCGATGTTAATGGTCGTTATGACTTGTTAAAGAAGTCTAATTTATGCTTTTCTTGTATAGGACCTCATCGCTTACTGAATTGCCGAAGTAAGGGTTTTTGCCAAGTTAGTGGAAAAAGGAGTCACCATACAATGTTGCATAAGGCTGCAAACACTGAGCCATCACAGTCGCAAGTAACTAATAATTCTCATGCAGTTTTGTGCCAGGCTACCACCAACCCACAGGTACTTCTGGGTACCGCTTTAGGTAAAATTTGTTTAAGTTCAGGTCAGTGGTATTCATGCAGAATGGTGATGGATCCAGGTTCACAAATTAATTTAATTACCATTGATCTAGTGAAAAAGTTGCGCCTGCATTCCCGGGTTAGTCCTCTTGTGGTGTCTGGAGTAAGTAATAACTCCATATCTTCATATTCTGCTGAGGTTAAGGTGAAGTTGGGTTCAACAAAAAATAGAAACATATATGACTTTTAAGCCAAAGTATTGCCTTGAATAAGTGAAAGATTGCCTTTGTTTGCCGTGTCCCAAGAAGTACGGAATAAATTTGCATCAATAGAACTAGCAGACCTTCAATTTCATATGCCAGGAAAAATTTATTTGCTTCTGGGTGCTGAGATGTACGGTGAGGTTTTAAGTGACCCTGTTTTATTTCTTCAGGGTCAACCAAAAGCTATTCATACCTCATTAGGATGGGTATTATTTGGGGACACCCTCTCGGAAAGCCAAAGCCCTATACCTTTAGTGCGTACTTTTTTCACGCAGACCAGCCCTTCCTTACAGGAGGAATTGAAGTGATTTTGGGAGACTGAGGAAGTCACAGTTTGGATTCTGCCGAATCCTGAAGATGCATTTTGCGAAGATCACTTTATAAATACATGCACTCAATATCTCCAGGATAGATTCGTTATTTCACTTTCATTTCGTTCTGAACAGCAGATTGACCTTGATTCCATCAGAGAGATAGATTTAGAAATCTGGAAAATAAATTTAGGAGAGATCCGGAATATAAGTCTGCCTATGCTGCATAGATGGATGAATATATAAGATTGGATCATGTCTGCCTCACCAAGAACCCTTCTCCATACGTCATGAACCATCATGGATTCTTCCACGACAAAACTTGGAATCATATTTAATGGTTCGGAGAAGATGGTGGGAGGAAACTAAGGCCCCAGGTACGAAATACCGGCTGAATTCCTGAAATATGGAGGACAGGCAGTGATAAGCCAAATATTTCAATTGATATGGGATATAAAGACTGAGGAAAGTATATTGAGACTGGAGCAAAGTCATACTTTGCTCAGTTTATAAGAAAGGAGACAAGATGGTATGCAAGAACTATCGTGGGATAGCGCTTCTGTGTACAAGATTCTCTCCATTGCAATTAACTGGAGGCTGGTAAGATAGCCTGAGAGGATTATTGGCGATTACCAGTGTGGTTGAGGGCGGGGTCGCCGAACAGGCTAACGTGTGGGCATAGCACCACCGTTGCCCGGCAACCTGATCTATGAGACAATGGGTTTAAAATAGTCACGAGTTCGCCTCCCGGTGCCAGGGGTCTTTTAAATCTCCGCCCATATAGCTTTAAAGCCGAGGATCCAAAAAAAAAAAATTACCATTGTGGTGTTAGACAAGGAAGATCCACAACTGATTTAATCTTCACATTAATATAGCTATTGGATAAGTCACGAGCATAATGTTAGCCTGCATTACCTTTTTATATATTTCAAACAGGTATAAGACTCGGTAGACGGGGAAAGAGTAGCAAGGGATATCAGGTTCCTAGGAATCCCTCCAAAGCTGGTTAATTCAAATGACGTGGAAGGAAACAAAGTCTCAGGTAAGAATTGGTGGAGCCCTATCAGAATTCGATGTGGCAGAGAGGCTAAGATAAGGTGACCCACTGTCGCCCGTAGTATTTAACCTGGCTCTGGAAAAGGCAGCAAGAGCAATTAGAACTAACCTGAGAGGAAATATCTATAGCAGGCTTACCCAGCACATGGCCTATGCAGATGATGTAGTCAACACAGCACACAATACAAAACACAGCCCTTTCAAAAATGTAACTGAATTTTATGTATATATATTGTTCATCAAAATAAAATAAAACTGTAAAAAATGAAGGTAACAAACAAGAAAATAACATTTAACATTATTACATTTTCTTTATATCAATTACAATGTTATTTTACAAACATAATATGGACTTTTAAAACATTTACACATTTTAATAATAGAAACTGTGTTTACTATTATTTCAGAACTACAAACGGTATTTCCAAGTAGACACACACTATAGTAAAGACAACTCAATCTGTTTTATATTTAACAATATTCATAAACGTCATATAATACTTATAGTTTCTTATACACATATAGATTCATATAAAACAAGAGGGATTTTATGATAATTTATACTTGTTAATATCCACTTAAAATTAAATTCATTGTTTTCAACGATCACATTATTTTTTTTATTTTTTATATATACGTAAAGTGCCTAACGCTAAACATGACAACTATTATCTATGAAAAAATGAGAGAAATATTGTCGGTACAACATGGAATACTCATAATATCCCTCAGTAATAACTGCAATTAAACTTTTAAAAAAGAAATATAATTTTTTTATACATGAAATAAAAAAATAGGCCTTTTTCATACATTCCGTATCAACACATGATGGTAGAAAGACAGTTTGCAGACTATTTGCTCTAAAATACTTGTACACATTTAATACATTTAAACAGATTTTGAATTTTTTTTTTTTAAGTTCTTATGCCCAAAATACAGTAACTATAAGTATTCAATTCTTAAAACCAAGAAAACACTAACATTCTAATACCTGTTTCATTGTAAATCGGTCCGTAAAGAACTTAAATGACAACATTAATTAATTTCTGGTGTTTTTATAAACTGAAGAAGAAAAATAAAAATAAAATGAAATAAAATTGGAGAAATATAGTTAATTAAGTTCTGGACGGACCGCCTCGTCGTATAAGATATATTTAAATGCATTATTATTTATTTAAAACTAGAGGCACGTAACTTGCACAGAGGTAGTACCCACTATATACAATGAAAAAATACAGTAGGTCTTGGAACCTGTTCATATACATACAATCATAAGAAATTTACATTAACGAAAAAAAAAAAAATTCTATTAACTTTTAAGAAACAGCGTTGCTTCCTTTTGCGACTATAAAAAGCAAATACAAAAGTAATAAATATATTCAATACGATATTAAATAACTAAGTCAGTTCTTATAAGATTAAAAATAAATTATATTTACAACATATTCAATTGTACAAAGTTTGATTAGACTCAAAAATATCAGCTTTATTTTCAATGACAATTTCGATTAAAAAAAAACAAAAAAAAAAAAAACTAAAATACACTTTGGCAATACTTAAAATAAAACAAATAACTATATAAAATTTTAATAAAGAATTAAAAGTCCTTAAAAAGTAATATAAGAAAAACTTGAAAGGAATGGAATGGATAGCAGCCCTTATAAAAAAAAATAAAAATTAAAAACAAACAAAACCTTCTCAAATGACCTAAAATTTGGCAGATTTATAAAAAAGCTACACCCACGTGATCACAAACTTTTTAAACGTGAATATTACAAATCAAACATCCAATTACAAAGTGATTAACATCGATTAAATTTTAAACCTTATGTAATGCTGACAGCTTTAATAAATTTCCAATTACTTATTTTTTTAAATTTTATTATTAATTAGCACAGACCACGTACTAAAATGGAATGAGATTAATTCTACAACTCAAAGGCGAGTCACGAAATACCAATAATTCTACAATAAAATTGGAAATAAATTTTTAGAAGAAATATTCCAATAACGTAGTACACATTTACAGCTTCAAAAAAATTAATACTGTTCGAAAAAAAAAAATATATATTCGAACTTGCATTTTCCTAGTTCACAAACTATTAATGTACAAATTTATTTACAAATATTTCAAATGTCAATGAAAAGAACTACAACTTTGAACGAGCACATTTCTTTACATTGTTTTTAAATGTATGTGAGCAAACAACAATACATCTTCAGGGGAGTCTGATAAATTTAGGATCACAGTTATACTTGTTTTGAATTGGTCAGTTCGGCCCATTTTGTCTCAAAGTACAATCTGAGAGCATGACCAGCCTTCCCGACTGGCGAGTTGTCTTCGTTGAATGTTTCACAATTGTCAAATATCAATCGAACGTCAGACACAAAGTCTTCTCTTGATTTGTATCTAAAGGAAAAATAAAAAATTAAATAGGTTTAAAATCAATTACAGACAAACTATTTAATATAATAATGATGATGTTTAGGTCAGTGGGCGTAACATTAAAAATAAAAACTTTAAAGAGAAGCAATAGAATCAAGGAAATAAAAAAAAAACAGTTTTGAATAAAATGAATTAATTGTTCTTTTCTTATTTTTTATAAGGAAGCTGTTTAAATTACTATGTTGTTGGCAATAAAAACTTCAAATATATAACAAATTGTTTATTTGCTATAAGTTGTTCCAAATCAACGTTTCGAAATACAATTCCCATCTTTAGGACTTTATTCTTATCTGGCTATCATTAATATATGTTAATAGCTAAAAACCATGTGTGCTCCTTTGTCAAAATTAAAAAATTTATATATATTAAAAAAATTTAAATGATGACAAAGGAGCACATCTGGTTTTTAGCTATTAACATATACCAATGATAACCAGATAAGAATCAAGTCCTGAAGTTGGGAATTGCATTGCAAACGTTGACTTGGAATAATTTGCTAATTATATTGGAATAAATTTGCTAAGTTATAGCAAATACAGAATTTGTTATGAATTGGAAATTTTTATTGTGAAGACCATAGAAAATTAATTGAGATTTTTTAAAGATAACGCCCATTGAACAACACCATCAATAAATTAATTTATATTATTAGTATTCATTAATTATATTTTTAAGCAGTTCCTAATTATTAATCCTCATTATCATAAAATCTTACCTAGTACATAATGATAACGGGAATTAATAAAAAATATTAATTAAAAGTCAATATAGAATTAACAAAACATATATATCAGTATCTTGGATATTAATAATTTGATAAATTAAGCAAGACTGGATAAAGCAAAAGATTAATTAACATTTGAATAAATAGCAGTAATCAACTTGAATTAAGATATTTTTCTCAAAAATAAGAGTTATATTTTACTAATTGAGAATAATTATTATAAAAATATTTTTAAATTTAAAAAATCTGGTGTGCGCATCACACGATTTTCACTTACCACCCTCTTCTTAACAGAAATAAGTATTTTCAACCAAAGGGGAAGTGAAAGTAAAAATTATAGACGCTATAATTATTTACGTTTCATTGTGGGTATTTTTATTTGTTTAAATACCCTTATATTGACAAATTTCAATTTTTATATCGCTCTATTCTATACAATTAAATATTACATATTACCAATGATAGCATTTATGGAAACTGCATATGAATATGTACATAATATTATCGGAGTCAGTATTATAACTCATGCTGCGTAGGAAGCCCGTTTTGCGGGCGAGCTCGGCTACGCTTGTATTCCTTTGGTTCTTCCATTACAACTATTATCTGTTACGATCTCGTATTTCTCCTTTAGTTAATTATTAAAATCCTTCATATTTTTTAGTTAACTATTTTTTGTATCAAAGATTAATGTGAAATAGTTAATTATTCCAAATAAAAAAACTTAAAGGTACTTTAGAGGAAGTTAACATTGAAAATAAGCCATTTAGGCCCTGCCAGAGAACATCAATGAGAATAAAACCTACATTATATTAAAACTGCTTAATAATACACTGATACACTGAGTTTAATTAATCAAAATCGTTAGGGCCGTTTTTGAGAAAATTGTAAAAATGTGTTAAATCGATAATATAAAGTACCACTTCCGATTTTGACGAAAATGTTACTGTAACACCCAAGGCTTATAAAAACCTCAAATACATAATTTCAGTTTCGTACGACTTTTAGTTTTTGAGCTAGGCTGTTCTCATATATACAAACAGACAGACCATTTTGCGGGACTTGATTATTTGGACTTAGGGAACCTCAAAACATATATATCCATTGTAAACTCAGATTCGAAAATTTTCATGATTGCAATACTTACTCTTGTAAAAATTGTTAAAAGTGATTTAATAAATTAATGTAACAGTTAAAAATCAAGCTAATCTAGTTTTACTAGTTCTGCTGCTCCAACTTTTGACCCCATTTTAGCAGCATAATAAAATATTCTGTTCATCTGTCTACTATATATTCGTTAAGCCATATAATGGATACTGATCCTTGTTTTCTTCGCCGAGATTTTGTCACTTCCTTTCTCGTTCGTTTGATGTATTTTTCCAATTTGTGGGTTCAAATTCGCGTTTTCCCTCATTTTGAGACCAACCAACAATCAGTTCTGGTTACCTAAAAGAACTAATAAGTTGGCACTTTCCGTCTTTCTTTGTGTAGAGAGAATAATGTATTCAATATTAAAATTTCCTATTTTTTATGATATGGTCCAATTCCGAACAAAATAAAGGAAATAAAAATATATTTTTTTATTAGTAAAATATGAGTTTTACTAAACAACCCGGCACTTATTCAGTATATGTAGTTCAGATCAGGTATATATTATTTTGGTTTATAAAACAGGTATTGATATGACTTATTTCAAGGGAATTATATACAAACAGTAGGCCCGTGCGAAAAATTCGCACAGCATATAGTTATCAAATGCCAAATTAATAAGAATATAAAATAATGCAACGTATCAAAAGATAAAGAAATCAATTGTTACTTTATCCATAAATATAATTCACAAAGGAAACAAAATTAATTTAAATCTTCATTTTTATTTGGAACCAACATATTTACAAATTTCAATAAGCTGTATCTTTGCGAAAAATTGTCCGATTTCAAAGATTTTTTTTTCCTTATGTAGACAATTAAGTAATGTTTTATGTAATCATAGGAATAACCAAGGAAAAAGTGTGTAATTTTTTAGTTATTCGCAAATAAAGTTTCTTTTTTTTCATAACTTGTTTGCCTGAATTTTTGGGGTGATTGGAATATTTTTCCCGCCTGAAGGAGAAGGAAGCCTTCGAAATTGGTGGCTCAATCTTGAGATTTGGTGAAAAATTAACGATGATATGGCTTACCGATCAAAAACATCATCGATAAATAATATAAACTCCTCCTCCCTCGATCATAGAGACCTCAAGTCGACGAAATGAGACATGTATCCAATGGTAGTACTACAATTAACGTCAGGTTGTGTGAATGCGAACCCCATGCCTTGCATTATCTCAAAAATGGTATGTTTTTGGGCTTAAAAACGCAGGATCCGATAGTTCCGGAGGAACTATCCGGGTCTTGCTGTACGCATCAAAATCTTCAAGGTCCAATTTGTCACGCATCGATCTATAGACCTACCACCGTTCCAGTATTGAAGCCTAGCAAAATGTTTGTATCGACTTTATTTATTTTAGAAAGTAAAACAAAAGCGGAGAATACGATTCGCTAACCCCCCGTGAAATTCTGAATCCAACGGTACCCCATTCATGGTATTTGAGCATGACAGGAGCTTATATTTGGTACAAAACCGATTTCGAGCCTTACTGTAATAATATATGTACGGATTTAAATAATGTCTAAGAGTCAGTAAAATCTCCCTGGCCCACAGACTATATTACCATCTTGGAAGTTGTTGTTTGGCAGGGTCACTAGTTGTTTGGAATTAAATGAGAGAGGATTCCCCAGGGAGCTTTAGTTGAGTTGACGTGAAAGTGTTACCTTATTGGAAGGTGTGTTTGGCAGAACTTTGGAAAATGTTTGCAGACAAATGAATTTAGTGCAACAAAGGAAGAGACAGTATATATAGAAAAAAAGTTAGCTTGCCAATCCGTACTTGACTTTATTTTAAAATCAAACAGTGTTTAGTGTAGTTAATATTAGTTTGTCTGAGTGTTTTGATCTGATTGTCAGTAACCCACACCTGAGATAAATAAATATATTAATACTCTTATAATTGTATTTCTAATTTAATAACCTCTTATTTATTTAGTAGTATACCAACAGTATAAAGTGGTCTTCTGATGTTATATTATTATTTGTAAAATATAAGAGAGATATTACACTATATATTACATATATTGGTAAGTTAAAGTAAAAAACTAGTTGAGAAAACTAAACATAACATGCGTTCTTACTCGTTATGAGAAAGCCTCTTGGAAATGGTTTGGAGATCCATCGGATTCCTAATGATCTTTCGGTACGTAGGGAATTGTTTAGTATTGACAGCGATCAAGAAAGGCCAAGCATCCTCGTGTGATTCAAGATCGTCTAATATAGTTTTGCAAGGTGCTAATTCTTTGTTGAGCCTTTTCCCAGTTTTATTGTCCCTCTTTGTTGGAGAGTCTTCCTCAGTAGGGCTATAAAGGTTAACATAATAAAATTATTCAGTTTATATTAATAAATAAATTTATGATTATCTAATAATAAATTTACTTTAATTATACATAATAAAATAAACTAAGAATACAATCAAAATGAAATGAATGGATGAAAAATTAATTTTATTCAGAGACTAAGAATAATAATAACATGGTACAAAACATTGTTCCATTAGTTTGGCTTGACAAAATAAAAAGAGATTCTTGTCATTTTAATGTTAATTTCAATTACTATGGCAATCATGCATGAATAGCACAGTATACAAAGTAACACTAGCACATTTTATATGGTTTACATGTAAACAAAGAAAAAAAAAATAAATGAAATAAAACCAAGTGGAACTAGTCCGATTAAATGTTAGTGAGCAGTTGTAATCACAGAATCCAATAAGTATTACACAGATACGGAAGTTTGAAAATGAAGTAGGTGGTGGAATAAGAGTTGTTTGAAGGAATTTATGGATGAGGATCGCCGTATTGTGATAGGTGAAGAATTCCAGAAGTAGCACAAATGACGAAGGATTTGCTGGAGAATGTAGTTTTATGAGAAGGGATTTATAAATAAATAGGTTGAGATCTGGTGTTAAGAGAATGGATATAGGAATGTAGAGTGAGGAGTTTCATGATGTAGGGAGGATTTCTGGTTGTTAGGACCTGGAAAAAGAAAACACCAAGAAGGAATTGTCGTTGGGAAATAGGATAGAGCCACTTCAAATCGGTGTAACAGTATCTAGAAAGATTTTTATCAAGGATTACTCCTAGATTTCATATGTGTCAATGCTTTCATGAAGTAAAACAATCAGTCGTTTGTTATAATAAATTAAAATTTATATTTACTCTAGTTTAGTTGTATGTTTGAACTTTATAACTTATTAAAGTTAAAGAGTATGATAAGGAACATAAAGGAATGCTAGAAAAGATTGAAGATGCAGAATTGAAGTCATTATTGAAAAAAGATTCAAATACAAGAAATTGCAGATTCTTTGGAACTAACTCACGAAGCCACTCCATTACTTTTTAAAGATGAAAAAAGATAAAAAGTGGATTCATTAGGAGAATCCAAAGCATAAAATCAGGCAGTAAACCCAGCCCAGCCGATGAAACATAATAAATAATTAGCTGCCACAGCCAAACTAGAATCCGGGATTGGAGCAGAGGAGCACAGTGCCTTGCCCTTTGAGCTACCCTACTCCTATATTAACTAAGATAATGAAAACTAAATATGAAAATATTAAAAATTAAAATTAAATAATGTTTATACGTACACAAGTAAATTTTCAGTTGAATTAGTTATTTCTTCTGATTTGATTGGACTGAGAGATTGTGTCTGAGATCTTCTTGTAGTTTTCCTTTTAGGATGTTTAGCAGCACAATTGCTGCAGTACCATTTACCCCGAGGCATCTGAACATGCAAATAAAAACATGTAAGAACATTCAAAATAATGAAAAAATCCAACTTAAAAAAAACATAAATTATATGCTAAGTTAAAATTTACTAAGTTAAAGTATAAATTAGGGATCTCCAAACTATGACCCACAGACACCTCGTATTCCGACCACCAACATGTTTTAGATTACATTGTAAAATATACAATACAGTATTTGTAAACTTAAACAAAAAAAATGTTTTTATTTTTATTTTAACCATCCATGGCATTAAATAAAAATTTAGAGGATTTTTTAAATGATAAGAATGCTGGATGAACCGAAAATATGTTGTTTTCATTTTTAAAAACAATTTATAATAAATTCCTAAATTAATTTTATAGAAAATAATGAATTTTTTTATAATGATGTATTGATGTTTTTATTAAGAATGCCAATCATGGCCAGAGACTTAATGAAGATAGCAGAGTTGCCTATATGAGACGAACTTTGGACACATCAGTTTTATACTATTTAAACAAAAATTATCGAACAACATGATCAGTATTTTTAGGTTTATTTCTTCCTGTGGTATCAATATATACCTACCTACTGCTTTTTTTATAAGATAAAGCAAGTTACATTTATTATAAGAAGGGACCACCACTTTACTAGTTATAAGAAAAAGTTCTTAAATCTGTTTCGTTCTTAACTATGCCTTATTAATGGAGAACTGAGCTAATTTAATCGCCTACAGTTCTCCAGATTGATTGATGTTGATGATTTCAACTCAGTTACTTACTAGCATGACATCATAAGACCTAATACCTTTAAAGGTACCAATAAATAAAGGTCTAGCTAAATACTGAATAGAAAATTAAAGCATTGAAGTCTTTTCAATCAAATATATTAAGAATAGATTTAGTAGTTAACAATTTCTTATCGTATTTAGTAATATTTGATTAATGAAACTAAAAAAATTAATATTTCAAAAGACTAAGGGGGTAGGGTTCCCCCCTTCCATTTTACAAATTATACAACTGTTCATTTAATTTTACTACTCTTTGCTTTTGAGCAATTACATAACTTTAATTTACTTGTATTCTGTAATTCAGATTGTATAATTTTCATCAACATAAAATAAACTGAAGGAAACCACAGTTTGGACACATTTTTAATTTGTTTAAAAATCTATATTATAAATCGCGCCTTATTGCTAATTTATATTATTATATAATTATAATTATTCTTATTGCCAATATGTAACCAAAATGTATATTCAACTTCTCCAACTTCGTTTAAGTCCAACAATAATTTGAGCCTTTTATTTTTAATATTTTCATTTTATGTTATATTGTACTTTCTTTTTCTATTTCATAATAATTATAATTAAATAACAAAATAATATTATATATAATTGATAATTAATATATTTTATTCAAGTCTAAATGTCCAGATCGAAAAATAACTGCTGTCACCTTGATAAAATCAAATTATCATCATTTTGATGAATACCATTTTCTGTTCAAATTTTTAGTCTAAATCTCTATTTTTTATTAGGTTTATAGGAAGTAACAGCAGCTTAACACATATGTAATTAAATGAACAGCTGTATAATTTGTAAAATAATCGCTTAATAAGTTGATCCTGTTATCTCCTATTTTCCTAATAATAAAATAAAATAAAATATGAAAGTCACTAAAAACTTTTTTATATAATAGAGAGATATGATTTTGTAGTAATAATATCTTTTGTAACATATAATATTCTATAGCAGACAATTTTTTTGAGACATTGGATGTAAAATAAAGGTGATAACTTCAAATAAACAAATAATAATAATAATTTAATCTAATTACTTTGGAAAGCGGAGGAGTCATGCAGTCCGTATGGAAAGCTATCGGACACATTTCACAAATAAGTAAATTTCTGCCAACCTTTTTCCCACAAACCACGCAGTTCTTCTCACCCTTTGCTTTGTTAAGACATTGGTGACAGAACCTGAAATCAAACAATATAATATGAAATATAAATAACTAATTAATAAATTATTAATTAAGACTGTGTTTTCCCAAGTGATTACAGTGCAATAGAAATATTCCAGAAAAAAAAAATCTCCTTTATTCATTATTTGAATGAATGAATGATAATAATTTTATTATTCTGGGACTAGTGTCCCGTCCCTTTAGAACAAGTTACAAATACAGAAAATATATTAATATTCTGATGTGTCCATAAAATACAATTAAATATTTACATGATGATTAGGAATACAATAAAATTATACATAATAAAAAGATATAAAAACGTGTATAAATATAAAATAAACAGAGAAAATAAATTAAATAAACAAAATATCAATGTATCACAAAATAATCAAAGTATCTGGGTATATTTTAAGATTCTCACAGCTTAGGTTTTTTAATGCATTTCGTGATCAATCGGATTGGGAATAAAGTAGGTGTTTGAAGATGAGAGATTTGAATGAGGATAATGATTTTGTGTGTCGAATATCTGAGGTTATAGAGTTCCAGAGGGACACAACTTGAATTAAAAAGGATTTATCAAACGCAGCAGTTCAGTGAGGAGGAGGATAAAGGTCGGACACACGGGACCTGGAGGGACGGGATTGAATTGTAGGATCTGTAGAATATAGGCGGGTCGCCGAGTTCTAATGGCCTGGCATAGAAAGGTAGCAAGGAAATATTGACGGCGGTAGGACGGATAAAGTCACTTCAACTCGGTATAAACCTGGGTAATATGCGTATCCCTTGAAATCCCGAAGATAAAGCGGATTAAACATTAAACATTTAAGTTTAGCTTCGAATTCTCCTGAGAGTCCACCATACACCATACAGCCATAGTCGAAGTGGGAGAAAACAAGAGAGGAGATGAGGAGTTTGACGGGTTTTGAATGGAAGAAGATAACGTAGATGGTTAAAATGTTTCAAGGTGGATATAGTACGGTGGGAAATTTTGGAGACGTGTGGTTTCCAGGAGTGGGTTTGATCGAGGGTAACACCAAGATTTTTAACGGTGGTATAGAAGGAGATAGGCGAGTTGTTCAGAAGAAGATTAGGAGGTGCTGAAATGGATTTGAGGAGTGAGGGGATCCGATCAGGATGGCTTTTGTCTTCTCCGTATTTATGTGAGCTTATTAAGATTCGCCCATGCACATATTCTATTGATGTCTTGTTGCAGTTTCAGGATGGCATTAGAGGAATCCGCCGGGTTGAAGGAAATATAAATTTGGACGTCATCGGCATATAGGTGATATTGACAGTGCATGATAGAGGAAGGAAAGCCATTGATGTAGATAGAAAAGAGGGTGGGGGATAAAGAGGAACATTGTGGGACGCCTCTGGACAGAGGTAGAGACATTGATTGATGATTATTAGGAACTACAACGTACTGGGAGCGATCGATGAGAAAGGATTGGAACCAATTAAGGGCACTAGATGATAAGGAAATATTTTTCAGTTTGGTTAGGAGGATATTATGGTCAACTGAGTCGAATGCTTTAGAGAAATCAAGAAGGATCAGGATGGTGAGTTTTTGTTGGTCTATGGCTGTATGGAGATCTTGAGAGATTTTAATGAGGGCGGAATGAGTGGTGTAGTCAGGTCTAAAACCAGACTGGAAACAGTTCAAATGGTTATTTTGTTCGAGATATTGGGATAATTGGGATTATACTATTCGTTCTAAAGGTTTGGAAAGGCTAGATAACGGGGAAATTGGACAGAAATCATTAGGGGTTGTGGGATTAGAGATTTTGTTCAGTGCACGAACAAGGGCGGTTTCACAGGTGCTGGGAAAATGGATGGAAGTGAGGATTTAATTAATTTAACTGGGATATTATCTTGTCTGAAATCTTTGGCTTTGGGATTTACAAATGGATTTAAGGAGGTTGTCAGGGGTAATATGCGAAAAGAAAAAATGATTGGGATTAAAGGAAGGATGCATGAGGGGTGGAGCTGGTGATTGGACAGAGGGATAGGATGAACAGGAGATAAAATGAGTGTTGAGTATGTCAGCTGAAATAGAGGTAGTCTGGGTTTGCCTAAGGATAATTTACGGAGGATTGCCCACATGGCTTTGGAATGCTGGATAAGGATTGTTGGTAGTAGTGGAATTTGGCACGGCTTGCGTACTGTTTCGAAGCAGCTTGAAATTCGTGTAGTCTTTGGGGAGTCGAATGCGCTTAAACCTTCATCTTGCTGCATCTCTTCGTTGTATACAATTTTTGATCACAGGGGTCAACCAAGGGGCTGGGGGGTACTTGATTGTCCTGGCTTTAAGAGGAGCATGACGGTCTAGGATAACGTGCAGTTGATTGGTTGAACTTTCTACCATAAAATCAACGGAGTTAGGTGAGTATATGGAGTCCCATTGGATTGCATCAAGATCGGGTGTCAAAGTTTCGGATGATAGGAGATTAAGGTTTCTGAAAGATATAGATCGTGGACAGAATAGAGGAACAGAAAGGTTATAGGAGACCTGTATGAGATCATGAGCAGACAAAAAAGGAAGTGGGTGCTGTGATGAGGCAAGAAGTTTATCAGGACAGTCAATAATATAAAGATTGTGCCAAGAGTCTGAGTATTGGATGTGATGAGTAGGGTTGTACAGGATTATGTACAGATTAAGAGAGTAGAGGAGGTTTGATAAATAGGCTTGGTCAGAGGAAGGAAATAATAGGTTGGTATTGGAATCTCCGGAAAGAACAATATTAGAGTAGGGAGGGCTCAGTTCGTAGAGGATGGTCTCGAGTGTTTCATCAAAGGGCACTCTAGGAGGTCGGTAGATGACACCAATGAGTAATAAATATGAGGAGGTGGATATTTCAGCAAAAAGATATTCAATATGTGGGGAGACGGAAAGAGGAGACAAAGCAAGGATTTTGGATTTCAGGCTATCATGGACAAAAATGGCTACTCCGCCTCAGATTCTATTTTCTCTGTCATGATGGAATAGGGTATAGTTAGGGAGTGAAACTTGAGAGGATGTGATCGTGGAGTTTTAGCCAAGTTTCAGATACAGCGATTAAGTGGTAGAAGTTGTGCAGGAAGAAATCATGGAATTCAATTCATCTATGTGCGTTAAAAGTGACTGTGCATTGACATGACAGGATAATAAGACATTAGCCATAAGAGATGGTAGATTGTGACAGTGAATCGGTAGGAGGGGCAAAAGATAAGGAAATACCATTTATTTGACCAATTTTGCAATTTTGAAACATAATTTTAAAGGACTTCTCAATTATTTCAATCTTTCATTGCTAAGATAGTACAAATATGTACAAAAGTGAATTTCATTAACTATTAAAGATGTAGTTACATAAATTAGTATATTTTTTTCTGCAATGAGGAAATAATGAAACAGAACACCAGCAGAAAAATAAAATTTTAGATTTTCATATCTCTTTACAAATGTATTTGTAGATAGCATATATATCTACATTATCTATTCACATGCTGATAAACACTCTGGACTAGCAAAGCCTGTAAGAACAATTTTGAGCTTTTCTTGTATATCTTGGCCTTGCTCATATTTAAAATACTAACTAAAAAAAGTTACTTTAAGCATCACATCTTTTTCTTAAGATAAAAATAAACCAAAAATCGCATTAAAAAAATATATAATCCACACTTTTTTTCGGAATATTTTTAGTTATTTCACAGTTTTTGACAACGAGGCTGTTAGTATGACTTTGATTAACTAGAATGTAAAAATTAAATATCAATAACAACCCCAAGTAGCTAGCAGACACCTAATTATTAGCCCCATATATGTAATACTCCAGATATTATTTTTATATATAATAAAAATTTTAAAATTTTAATTATGACAAAGGAGGTTTTAGGTAAATATAGCAACTATTAGTTTCTTATGAAAGATGGGAAGAATTTCCTGAAATGTAAACTTGAAATGAATTATAACAAATAAAATATTTGTTTCATATTTGGAAGTTTTTTATTGCCAACAACAAAATGAAAATTATTTAATTTGCATAGTTTATTTATTAGTTCTAATATATTTATTGTTATAATTAATAGAATGCATAAAACATTTGATGGGTGTCCTTGAATCTTTTTTGATTTATTATTTTCAATAATGAACCATTGTAATCAAACAAAAAACTTTTAACACTTGACTCCCTCTCAAAATTTAAGATTTCACGTTTCAGGATACGTAAACATTAAATTTTTTTTCTAAGTTATTCCAGATTTATTTAATATTCAGATGCAATTCATTCCCTTTCTATCATAATAAAAACCAAGTTAACCATATTTTCTTGCTGTTAACCATTGTTTTCTACCATTATTTAAATTCAAGGACACCAATGAAAATTACATGGGCTGAAGTTTTATGAAAGTTACATCTTTTTAAAAATTTCTTTAACGTAAGAACCTTTTCTAAATTTTAATTTTCAAATGTTTAGATATTACATTCTCCACTAACAATGTTACTTTGGAAATTGGAAAAACAAAATATATATTATATGTTAAATGCAATAAATAAATACTATAATATTTACCAATCTCCTTCTGGAATATTTTCCATTTTTGGCTTAAAACAGTAAGTATGATAGCCTTTATCACAGCCATCGCAGAGAAGAAGTTTGTCCTCATTATCACCCGAATGGCAAAACTGACAGTTCTGAAAGGGAACATTTTACTTAACTCATAATAAAATAATGCAAAATAATTTATAATATTAAGAAAATCTCATCAGAAAATATTTTAGTGCCAACCAATTTTCTTGCTCGCAAGCAGGTCAGAAGATAAATAAGCTTTAAGTTGTAAAGATGGAGCGATTGTGTCAAGATAAAAGATGGCTGGAAAGTTTTGGAAAGAGTATAGAAAGAAGAGGGAACAGCCAAGGAATATTTGAAGGAAGGAATGGATGCAAGAAAATTAAGAGAGTAGAAATGGTTTGATAGCAGAATATGGTGGAACAAATTTTGGACATCAGAATAAAATAATAGTATAATGACAAAATATATACAGGTATATTTCCAGATTTTTATTCAACAATCAATTCCAGAGTTGTGGCAAGTTGCACCACCAAAATTTTTGAGGGGGGCATATTTTGACGGGATTTTGAATTTTTGAGGGAGTCACATTTCGTTGAGGTTATGAATTTTCAAAGTGAAAAGATTCAAACCAGGGGCCAAAGGGGAAAACACGGACCAGACCACAGCGAGTGTAATTATATATGATATACTTTATAGTATGATATAATCCTATAATAATAATATGATATACTCCTATAGTTTTGTCAAACAAGATCTTTCATTTTTCTAATTCTTTTTTAGCTTGTACTATTTTTTGTAAGAGGAAAGAGATAAAATTTCTTGAGAGGGGGAGTTCCTGGGCCATCGATCTTGGGGAGAAGATGGGCACCTCTGATCAATTCAGACAATATTTAATAAGAAAAAAAAAAAGACTTAAACAAAACTAATTATTTTGATACCAATTAAACATGAGGAGCACAGAAGTGGAGTGGCCCATAACACTAACGGATGTGCACGGCACCACGAGTTCCCCAGAAACCTGATAACAAAAGTTATGAGACAAAATGATTACAAGTTTGCGTCCCATAGCTGAGGAGGCTTTTAACTCTGTCATTAATCTGCTCCCTTACCTCAGGTCCAGGAAAACTGTGTGCAGCCTAAAAGGTGAGGAAGGGTTGGACAGAAGGAAAAAAATATATATGTATATAACAAGAACATCACAATATTGGTATTTGAGCTTCAAGATTATTTAATTTATTTTAAATCCTTCCACAACTACCCAACAGAAGATTATTTTCATTTTACGATTACTCAGAAGCTAAGGTAAATGATCCTTTAAATCCAGATAAAACCCCTTTGGTTGGTATTAAAATATTTTTAATCAAAACTAAAAGAAACATGCTAAGAGATTAAATAAATTTTACAACAGAAACTTATACACTATAAAAAATAGATAGTGTAATGATTTCAATTAATATTTGGTTCAAATTATTAATTCAGACAAAAAACTAACAGTGAAAAAGAAATATAAAAGAAAGGCTTAACATTAAGTTTTCATCACAATGCATTTTCTAATTAAAAATAATAAAATTATTTAAAAACAGTGCAAAATAATAATAAAAGAAAACAGCAATTAGCAAAATTCCATGCTGTAATCAACAGAAAAAGTAATTTTGCAAACAAAAATATTTATTTATTTTTTATAGATAGTAGATTATTAGATTAATTATAATGATTTTACTTTAATTAATTTCATAAAATTTTATTTTACTGATTATGAATTGGTTAGTAACTTTGCAGATTTAATTTTTTAAATGGCTTGATTGCAATAATTGTGTTTTTATTTAGTATAAACTAAAACCAGCAATGAGAAATAATTTAATAAATGTGAAACCTGGTAGAAAGTAGTATTGGGTAAGTAGTCACTGAATCAGAGACAGAGTCGCTTTGTATTGGGCCACTACAATTTCGAAGTGGTCAGAAGCTTTTCTTATCTCGGCAAAGCAAACTTGTTAGCCTTACCACCAAGTTTATGCAGTACAAGACGCTGATATGACCAATCACCACATACGGTGGAGAAACGTGGACCATAAGCACAATAAAAGCATTAACCTACTAGACAGGTTTGAAAGGGTAATTTTCAGGAGAATCTTAAGACTCATATGTGAGAATGGTAACTGGCAAAGAAGAAAAAGTAGTGAACTGTTTAGGCTCCACAAGGAATGGAGCATCTTGTCGTAAATCAGGATACAGAGGCTAAGGTAGCTTGGCCATGTGATGGCAATTTATGAGTGACTCATAAATTGTATATTAATGTTGTGATGGTGTGTGCCAAAGGTCCGATGTTGGACAGGATGTGCGACAACTGAGGATTCCTGTTACCCTTAAATAAGATAGAGAAAGATGATTGACGGCTGTTGAGCGGGCTGAGGGCAGCTTCATGTTCCAATAACAGAAGAAGATAGCCTGGGCGCAGTCAGTTATAAAGATTTTTATTGTCAGTGTTTCAATCCAAACTTGTGGATCATCATCAGGGCTCAAAAAATTATAATATTATACAACAGATAATAGTTAATAATGATAAATAGTTATGTATGAGTAATAATGATCAAATAATAACTAATGTAGAATGATGTGATTACACGATGAGAATTCCATAGAATACATTATTCATGGGATTATGTATTCCATAAACAATAATGTTACCTGAACCCCCTGACTCTGTTTTCCTACCTCTGCTTTCTTAAAAACACATTCGGAGAATCCTTCCCAGATCCTCTCACTTACCAATATAAGTGCCACTGCTAGAACACCTTCAGTAACTGGTAACAGGTTAGTAATATTAAATACTACATTTCTTTTAAATTTACTATGTATATTATTTTATAGTTTGTATAGCTTATTACGTATTCCATTTCCCTATCTCATCATGTGTTCACAACTTTCTACATTTATTATTATAACTCATCCATAACTTTACATCATTATTAACTATTATCTGTTGCAAAATACCATATCTTGAATATTATAAATTTTTCAGTTCTGATGATAACCTACAAGCTTGAGGTGAAACGTTGTCAACAAAAAAGGTTAAAAACTGACTGTGTCCTGAGTATCTGTCACACATGATACATAGAAAAAATTACTAACTTCCTTCGATAATAGGAATTTAAATATACATCGAAATAAAAAAACAATTAAATAATAGAATAAAACCACCTCTACTGACAACTGTATGAACAAAGTTCCCAAAAGAAAATTTTAAAATGCCTATCCTTGTTGTTTCTACAGTGCTCTTGAGATCAGTATTTTCATACCTTCCTACTCACAGTTTTGCTAAGAGTAAGTTGAACGTTTATGTTATCTTTATAGTCAAATAAAGATTTTAGATTTTTTCTGAGGTAAGTTTATTAATGGCACTATTACTAAACCCATGTCCATCACTAGTGCAAAAAATCTGATGCAGTGTGCGCATCACACAACTTTCACTTACCACCCTCTTCTTAGCAGAAATAAGTATTTTCAGACAAAGGGAAAGTGAAAGTAAAGGAGATAGTAATTATACCCATAGAGGAGTAATAGTAATTCAAAGTAATTCTGTCACCAGCTTCGTATATGAACGGTCTTTACGGAAGCGATCCGGCATGTTAAAGAGGTTGAGATTGTGGAGGAAATGGAAACCTACAAAATCGATATCTTTAGATTAAGTAAAATCAGAAAGAAAGGGTCAGGAGAAATGCAGCTATACAAGAGAAATACCCTTCTATATTCAGGAGTACCACCGGGTAACCAAGCAAAGGAGGAAGTTGGATTGATTTTTAAGGATGGGGTTTTTCAGAAAGTTCAGGATTGGGAAATGGTAAACTCCAGAATAATATCTGCCAATGTTATTCTCTCATTGGCAAAAGTAACACTAGTCCAAGCAAGTCTATGCGCCAACTGAGGACTCTAGTGTGATGGAAATGGAACAACTCTACAGTTACCTAGCATGCATAATTGAAAAAAGTCAAAGTAGTAATGTTATTAATATGGGATATATCAATGCAAGAACTGGATGTGACCACAGAAAAGTCTATGGATGTATGGGCCCAAATGGAGGCAAAAGAATGATAAATAACAATGGAAGGCAACTAATGGAATTTCGTAAAGGGAATTCCATTTATCCGCATAAAGTGGTTCATAAGATAACATTTTCAGAACAGGAAGGAAACGCCAATAGTGTGATTGACTACTTCCTGTATACCAAGGAAATCAGAAGATTCTTCACGGGCAACAAAGTTATCAAAGGTGTAGAAATCTGGAGTAACCACATGCTGTTGATCACAGATAGCAGAACTCCTACGAAAAAGCCCCAGCCAAAAACTTATGAAAGGATTGAAATAAAACAGTAGCAGGATATTCGGAAATGAATGAATTATGAGAATGGGCTGCATGAACTAAAGTTTGATAAAGGCTTAGATGAACTATGGCTGAAGCTGAAAGCAGTGACTAAAGTATGCAGTGTGAAGAAAGATTCAGACAAAAGGAAACATCCGGACTGGTGGAGTGAGGAACTTAGAGATGTTGTAAAGGAAAAGAATATCTTGTGGAAAATGATCTTTATGAAAAGAAGCCGAGACTATGAACACTACAAAGTTGCTAGGAACAAGGTAAAAGTAGGTGTAAGAGAAGCAAAGAGGAAAGCATAGTTAGAGTTATGTCACTCCCTTGATGTTGATCATAGGGAGAATATTAAGATCTTCTGGCAAAAAATCAAGGCTCTGAGAGGCAGAGAGGCAAAACCAGTTAGGAGTATAAAGAATGAAGGGGAGAGAGAGAGTTAGTGCTGGAGGTATGGCAAAGGTATTACTCAAGACAGTTTAAAGGCAATCAGGAAGCAAGCAATGTTCTTCTTGGAAGAAGAATCTTTCCGAAGGACCAAGGAAACGATCCAATAGAAGAAGAGGAGCTTGAGAAGGCTATTGCGAGGATGAAGACAGGAAAAGCAGCAGGCCGAGACAACATAGTCCCAGAATTTATTAAATATGGTGGACCAGAGTTAGTAGGACCTCTTCCAAACTTCTTCCAAAGAGTTTGGGACAATGAAAGAATCCCTAAGGAATATAATACCCATATGCAAGAAAGAAAGGCAAAGTGATTGCGC